TAAACGTTTTCCAGCTAGACATCGTATAACTATTAAGTTAACTGTCTAAATTGTGCTAAATGCTCTGCAGGTTGCATTTGGTTTGCTAATTATCTAGCTAGCTAAGTGATTAGCTTCTCGCAAAATCAAGCTTCTCTTGGTAACAGCAGAGAACCCCCTCCTGGATAAAGAGCCTTGCTGTCTAATATTTGTTTTGTGCGTGCAGCAAACTGAGTAGCATTTTTGAGTTACTTAACTTTATGAGCTGGGATGTCTGTCCTGCAAATAGTTTCAGAAACTGTATATAAATGTTCACAATGCACTCGTTACCATTTAGCTAACATCCGCTATGGGAGTTTACATGTACTTGTTAGCATTGCTAACCTTTGGATTGCAGCGACTCAGTGGGGTTTGAAAATAGCGCCCCTTGTGTCCAGTGCCGGTATGACACAAGGTCTGTATGAAGCTATGACAATATGGATACCGCTCAAGCCTAGCTTAGCTTTTTATGCAGTTTCCATTTTTCCATTTGAAGTATTTTTAGTTCGGCTATTTCTCCTCTCCTCGTCCAAATGAACTGCACCAGGCAGAGCCCCGCCGGCATCTAATGAGAGAACGCTGAAGAGGAAATCCACACTCCCACACACTTCTAAATGAGAGGAAACAAACAGATGGGTGGAGTGGGGGGATACCTGAATTCACAGGAAATATATCACCAAAATAAAGACTATGTAGACGGTCCATTTAGGGAAATGCAAACAGGTTGTTGACAGATATTAGTCATATCTAGTTGTTCCAATAACAGAAGCACAACTAAACTTGGCTCTAACAATTACAACACGTATCCTGCAGAGGAGGAGGATGTTTTGCGAAGTCTTGAGTAAACCCACACTTTCCAGGGTTCAGTATTGAGTTCATGGCACCACTTCACAACCTGAGTAGGCTGTTGTATGGTTCTGAATCACCTCTTGAGCAGAGCCGTTTGCAGTGAATAGGCCTCCATTAAGTAGCCTGGGCTTAGCGCTGGAATGCAAATAAATACAGGACACTGATTAATCAATTAGCCAACATGTACAGAGAGATCCTTTATGAAAACCTGCTCAGGACCTCACACTGGGGTGAAAGTTCACCTTCCAACAGGACAATGACCCTGAGCACACAGCCAAGACAACGCAGGAGTGGCTTCGGGACAAGTCTCTGAATGTCTTTGAGTGGCTCAGCCAGAGCCCGGACTTAAACCCGATCAAACATCTCTGGAGAGACCTGAAAATAGCTGTGCAGCGACGCTCCCCATCCAACCTGACAGAGCTTGAGAGGATCTGCAGATAAAAATGGGAGAAACTCCCCAAATACTGGTGTGCCAAACTTGTAGCGTCACACCCCAAGAAGACTCGAGGCTGTAATCGCTGCCAAAGGTGTTTCAACAAAGTACTGAGTAAAGGCTCTAACAATTACAACACGTCTCCTGCAGAGGAGGAGGATGTTTTGCGAAGTCTTGAGTAGACCCACACTTCCCAGGGTTCAGACCATATCAAGGCCTATATGCTTACCTGTGCAATGCTTGCTGACAGGGGAAAGCGATGTTCTCGTGGTGACTGTATGTGTGTGCCGGCCGGGCGTGTGGCTTCGGTGTCTTTTAGCAAACAGTGCTAACAGCTATGTGAGGAATGTGAGCGCACCACACTATTTCCAAGGAGAGGAGCAGGTAGGTCTATTCTCGGTCTTTAAAACATAACCCTACACTAGCGGGATATCTTGTCAATATGAATCATTTGAACTACGGTCTGTGGCTGCCTACCTTTGGACCAGTAACATCAAGCCAGACGGTGGATTTCAAATTAGAACTGGACTAATAAGATCTGATCTCACCCAATACTGAAGAGTTAACTATGCTGTAACCAAGTCACCAGGCTCAAATGCTATGACAGAGAGAGAGAGAGAGAGAGACAGAGACAGAGACAGAGACAGAGAGAGAGACAGAGACAGAGACAGAGAGAGAGAGAGAGAGAGAGAGAGAATAGGGAATAGTGTCGATCAGTTTTTGACCTGAGAACGTACCTCGGTTTTGTACCTGCTTGGTCCAGATAAAAATATCAAACAAGATAGAACAGCCTAATATGGCTTGGTTATCTACATTTGGTTATATTTCCAATACCAAAGACCTGTAGCGTCTACAGTGCTGCTGTTCACAGTTCATCCCTCTGAAGCATTCATCAACAATCAGTTGTTGACACATCAGGGCCCACTCACTGTTGTTGTGACCACCAGTGTGTGTCAACCTTTTGTTACGATAGCTGGATAAAATGTCAAGGAGAAAGCAAGGTCTCTGTCTGTCAACTTCCTTATAATTTAATCAATGAAATATTACATTTTTGTCATGTGCCATATGACAACCTGCTGTTGGGAGTCAAGAGTCTCAGCCACGGGATAATTTAGAAGAGAACTCATGCAGTGCTGACACTAGCCCTCAAGAACCCTAGTGGGGTATGCAGTTTACAGCCCCCCTCCCCCAAGAACATTTCTAAGTGACCCCAAACTTTTGAATGGTAGTGTATATTAAGAAGCAAAGTGAAAACATCATAGTTAACATCAACATTGTACACATAACAGCATGTGCTGCACTGAACATGCAGACTGAACGCTAGTGTCTCTTGGTCAAGGAACAACAAATGCACTCCTTGAGTGACTGACAGGTGTGTGGAAAGCGGCATAGAGAGAGAGAGAGAGAGAGCGGAGAGATGACAAGTAGAGAAGTAAACTATAAAAATGGACGTTACACAAGGCGTTTCACATGTAACAAAGCAAAAATTCAAATACCATTATAGAAGGTAAAGTAAAAATCCCAAACCGGTCCGTGCATCAAGACAGGTATATCATAAAATACGGTATACCGCCCAGCCCTAAGCGTTATCACTATCTACTGGTGTTAATGCCTATGGTTACATTAGGTGAAAAGGAGACTGGAGTGCCACTTTAAGGTAAGAGTTAAGGTTAGGGTAAGGATCATGGTTATGGTTAGGGGACATCCCAAGGATCCCGGATAGCATCACCAACCGACTACTGTGCTAATTAGTTATCTGTGTCTCCGAACACTTGTGTGTAACTGGAGGAAGTACGCCAGAAAAGTGTTGTAATTGAATAATACTGTCGGCTGCAACTGTTAACCACGTACAGTAAGTGTATTTTTTGCATTTGTGAAATTATTTTTGATTTGATGTGAACGTAGAGGAATTAATTTTTCAAAAACCATATTGTAAGCGAGGATTATTAACGAGGTTTCTAAACGTTAAAACAGAGCGTCGATTTTAGTTCACATGGGACAGCTGTCAGCCATACCATCATCAGCTGATAACCCAAGAGGATCGGCTGTAAACCACCTTGTTTTGGGCCCCTTGGGTTCTGAAGAACTCGGTTTTGGGCTACGCTAGTTTGCTATGTATGTTTGGCAGCCAACGCAAGCTAGCTAGCTACATTTCGTCTCACAATCGTTCATTAAAATCGGGTTGAATCGGCGACCAAGATAATTCATTTTATACGTACCCATGTCAAAAGGCTCTCGCACAGTTCAACTCGATCCACAGAATTCAAGGTACTCATCGTACTGTAGTTCAATTAATCCACGGAGATCGTTATTTCTTTATCCGAAAATGGCTAGCCAGCCAGCTAGGCGAGATGAAATCAACAAGACCGACACGTCCGATCAACTGGATACCCAAAACGAGGAATTATTCGACGTAAACCGCTACTGTAGCTAATCGGTTTCCGACAGGACAGATACGTTTCCCCCCCGCCCTTTTCACTTCTATAAAAACATACAGCGTCGAAGATAAAGGTTATTTAATCATAAACAGTGACGTTGAGACACATCCACCGGGTCTATCCCCTTCTGTCAAGCTTTTTCCAACCAGCTGAGGAAAAAAAAGATGCCACCCTGTTGGACCGAAACTCGAGCCTGAATAAGATCAACCGTCTTTATCAAAGTTTGTCAATCCAGAATACCTCTCAAATCATTGAAAAATAATCATAATCATAAGAAAGTACAAATAAATATCTAATCATGTATTCTATGAACATTTGAATAAATACATTGGGTTGAATTTAGTGCAGGCAAGTACTTGGGACGCCAAGTATACGTAGGCTAGAAAAAGGACCCCTCTAAGAACGTGAAAGTGGAGGAACTAGTTCCAATGAATAGGGTGAGACTTTTAGCTTGTAACCGATGTACTTTATCTTATTTAACCCTGTTTTCAGTCTTATTAGCCGCATTTGGCTAATAAGCAATGCGACAGATATTATTCACACTTAGCTATAACTCTGGCTCTGCGTTATGGTTTGTGTTCTGTAGTTAGCTAACGTTGCCTCGTTTTAGCTAGCTACATTTAGATAGGGGGAGTGGTGCTGGTAGATCTGGATAGCTCTCGAGAATATATATTATATATAATATTATATGTATACCAGCCCTTGAGTTCTGAACTGAAGGTATGGACCACAGTTAAATCAATAAACTACAATATCCACGCTGTTTCAGCGTTTAGAAACGTTATTAATCCTCGCTAGCGAAATGTAACTTTTTGGGCGACCAGACAAAATGTATATAGAATTGTAAGTTATTGATCTGTCGTTCTCGTTGAACGCAGGTCGAAGAAGCGGTGGATCTGTTCTGTGTGCGCTATTTCTATGCTTCCCGTTACGTTTCTGTATATTTTACGTTCGGTTTTGTACACCAGCTTCAAGCAGCTGAAAATACAATATTTTTGTTTATGGACAAGATATTTCACAGCGGTTTAAATGGTACAATGGTTCTCTACACTATCTTGCTTGTTTTGTCACATAAATTGAAATTATTATAATTTTTTTGCAACCAGAAAATTGCGGAGCGATTCTGCATAGTGCACCTTTTAACTTTAATATAAGTAGAAGAATCGTCTGAGTGTAGGGGCATTTTCCCTCAGCAGGCTAAAGGGGACGTCCAATGGCTTAATGGATTGGAGTCATGAATAGGTGCTAGGCTGTGACCCACATGTACTCTCTGTTCTAACCCAGTTCTGTAGGAAATGATTAAGTGGGATGGATGAAAACAATGGAGGTGGACTATTTGCTGCAAGGTGAAGACTCACTCATAGAAGGAGTCAGCAACCCTGTGTTGTTTGTGGTCGTTCTAAGTGTCACATTCCTGTGTGGACTGGTAACTCTGCTGTGCAGGTAGGCGTATTGTATTTCTATTCACAGCCTATGGGAATGATGGTTGTGAGTATGGAGTATACACATACACACAGACTTTTATCTATGTAAAGTCCTGTGTAGCTCAGTTGGTAGAGCATGGCGTTTGCAACGCCAGGGTTGTGGGTTCGTTTCCCCCGGGGGACCAGTATGAAAATGTATGCACTCACTAACTGTAAGTCGCTCTGGATAAGAGCGTCTGCTAAATGACTAAAATGTTAAAATGTAAATGTAATGGTTTTGGTGGTGGTGATGTTTTTGTAACCAGTTCTTGAGCTTTTTTTTTTTTTTTTATGTTTGAGTTTCCTAAATCAAACATGTTTTGTTTTCAACTGATATGCCAGTGAATGTTCTTGTTAGCAAGTTGTAGGCCTGTTTCTAATATCTGAAGCTAAAGATGTTGTTGGTTCAACAGAAATGAGCAGCAGCAGAACATCCACCCAGAGAACCAGGAGCATGTCCGCGCCGTCCGGCAGCAGCTGCAGTCTGACTCGCAGGTGAGAAGATGTGGCACTGGCTGCTCCTATGTGTACAGCATGTTGTTAGTTTCTCCTCCTTGAAAGTATCATACAACACCTTTATCTCAAATCAGTTTATTGGTCACGTTTACAGGATACAGGGTGAAATGCTTAATTGCTAGCTCTCCTCATCTCTCTCCTTCCTTCCTTCCTCCCTCTCTCTCTCCTCCCTCAGGAAGGTGAACCAGCAGAGCCCAGGCAGCAGTTCTATACAGATATGTCCTGTCCAGTGTGTCTACAGCAGGCTGTGCTGCCTGTGGAAACCAACTGTGGACATCTCTTCTGTGGTTAGAGTGGACCAAATGTTTATATACGTCATTGGGGTGTTGTCTGTCGCCTCTATCACTTCAACTAGGAAGAAGGAATCAGAACTAGCTACAAGAAACTGATTAAGCCATTTGGATAGATGCATTCAGTGCTAACATCTGGATATAACCACATTTTCCTGTATTTTGAAGGTTCTTGTATAATTGCATATTGGCGATATGGGACATGGCTTGGTGCAATCAATTGTCCCATCTGCAGACAAATGGTAAGACGTCTTCAAATGCCCATTATAACTTTGCTGTGCTTACTGTCAATACATTTATCATCATTCACGTAGTAATACTACTGATCCATAGTGCTGAAGTTGCTACTATACTCTGTTGGCATGTTCTCGTTTTGATTCTGAAGTAAAAGGAAAATAAGATTTTTAAGACAGTTATTGCACAGTACTGCAGTTGTTCTGTTTTGCATTGACCTCTCTACCCTATGTGAACAGGTGACCCTGCAGTTGGTCTGTTTGCATTGACCTCTCTACCCTATGTGAACAGGTGACCCTGCAGTTGGTCTGTTTTACATTGACCTCTCTACCCTATGTGAACAGGTGACCCTGCTGTTCCCGCTCTTCCATGAACACGCCTCCCCTCAGCAGGTGCAGGATGGAACGGTTGAACCACTCCTCATCCTCCGGGACCTCAACGACTACAACCGCAGGTTCTCAGGACAACCCAGATCTGTATGTATTTTGTCTTATGCAATCGGAGTTTGAGTGATTGATGCATGTGGAAGTCTCTCCCTGCAGGAAAGTTACATCAGATTTATTGAAAGCACAGAGACACAGGTACTATCTCGTTCTGTGCTGTGATGTCATATTGAAATGCTTTTGGGCTTGTTTCTTGGGCCCAGAATCTCATCTCAATGTCCCAGTCTATTAATTGATGATAAGGCCCTGCTCTACTGACGTTACGAGACATTGCAAGCCAAGAAATTGAGATGCAGCATTCCATTGCGAAATGCAGCTTTTGATTGCCGATAGATGGGCTTAGTGCGCGGTTCTGAGTCCGTCTGCGTGTTGGCCGACCTGCCTACACTGTGTCCCTCCCCTCTCTCTCCGTCCCTCGCTAGCTCGCTATGAAAGATGTGTTATCGGAAGTACGGCAACTAACCAGTCTCCTCCGTTCCAAAAATAGTCCATTAGTCCAATCCTAGCCGAATCTTGACACTCAGAAATGGGAGTCGACGCCAGGTGTCGATGTGCATGGAGTTGAGGAATCAATGATTTTGGGGTTGACTCTCCACCACTACGACATCGTCGTTAACAGTTGGAAAAATTGCAGAGAAAGGCAAGCGACAGCATTGAAGTCCTATATGGCAATACTTTGAGAAGTTAAATGCAGACTTTGCTGAGGGGAATTGAGGTACAGTAATGGTAGTACAGGTGCATTGCTTCACCATCTGAAAGGGGACGCACCGTGAGACCCAAACCATCTGAAAGGGGAAGCACCGTGAGACCCAAAACCATCTGAAAAGGGGGACGCAACCGGAGACCCAAACCATCTGAAAGGGAACGCACCGTGAGACCCAAACCATCTGAAAGGGGACGCACCGTGAAAACCCAAACCGTTGTTGGCAGCAGCACAGCTGCATTGTGAATTCACATGGAATTTAATGAATTTTTCTTATCGCTTTAATGGAAAACTGATAATTAAAGAAAATGGCAGTTTAAACCGTTAAGAAAATGTTTCCATTTGTCACATCCCTAGTACTAATGTTTCCATTTGTCACATCCCTGTACTAATGTTGTGCACAACACGACTTCCGTCTCTCCCTCTCACTGATGGCCGGCTGCGTTACTTCCCACGTTGCTTGCTACACCTCTTCAGGGAGAATGTTCTCCGAGGGGGCCTGTGCTGGGATGTTCCGGAATCCGTGTGCCGCGGTGTTGTGTGTGTCGGGGCTACGTGACCTACCTGGCCTCCCCTCTGGACTTGATCCCTGAGGCTCTGTGTCGGCCTGCTAGGCTTCATGGATGACATCTTCCTCATCCTACTCCTCTTCATCTACATCTCCATCATGTATAGAGAGGTGGTGACCCAGAGACTGGCAGCGTGATGTAGAGAGGTGGTGACCCAGAGACTGGCAGACTGATGTAGAGAGGTGGTGACCCAGAGACTGGCAGACTGATGATACCCTTTCAATTCGGCTGCAGGGAAATCGATTTTGATGCAGGAGCCAGGAGGACAATATGTGACATGGCCAGAGCCAGGAGGACAATATGTGACATGGCCAGAGCCAGGAGGACAATATGTGACATGGCCAGAGTAACTGATCATTACTTAGCTTCAGGCCAAAGACACTGGAACAGTGAGAGCGCTCCGTCTGTTGCTTTGGGCTGGAGTTCCACCATGCACAAGAGTGGGGTCTAGTTAACAGGTCTGCTGGCATCATGTCTGTTATTGGCAACAGTCCTGGAGTTTGTAATATTGAAATGAAGCCAAAATGTCTGTTTCATCAGTTGAGATGTAATCCTATTGAATCCGCTAATCTAAAACGTGTGTGTGTGTGAGCTGGGACAATAAACAGTAAATTACTGACATTGCCTTCTTACTGAAGCATTTTGCATGTCGGTCATTTTTTGTGATTTTGTTACACGTTTCCCTAGATTGTTCTAAAACCATTTTTATTTGGTCAACAGCAATAGCCTATGAATTATGTTGATTCCTGCTATCAAAGTATCTGCCTGTCCCTGTTTGGCTGTTGGCTGGCTGTGTGAGCAAGCCACACTAGCGCCCTCTCCCCACTGTGCATAAGGAGGTGGGAGAGAAGCTTTCTGAGAAGCACAAGCGTATGACCCTTGCTGAAAATGCAGTTTTCAAAGCAACTACTGTTCTGGTTACAGAGAGGAGTCACTGCTTTCTGTGACTATATATCATTAATTTTTCACCTCTTAATATTGAGTTCATGGCACCACTTCACAACCTGAGTAGGCTGTTGTATGGTTCTGAATCACCTCTTGAGCAGAGCCGTTTGCAGTGAATAGGCCACCATTAAGTAGCCTGGGCTTAGCGCTGGAATGCAAATAAATATAGGACACTGATTATACAATTAGCCAACATGTACAGAGAGATCCTTTATGAAAACCTGCTCAGGACCTCACACTGGGGTGAAGGTTCACCTTCCAACAGGACAATGACCCTAAGCACACAGCCAAGACAACGCAGGAGTGGCTTCGGGACAAATCTCTGAATGTCCTTGAGTGGCCCAGCCAGAGCCCGGACTTGAACCCAATCTAACATCTCTGGAGAGACCTGAAAATAGCTGTGCAGCAACGCTCCCCATCCAACCTGACAGAGCTTGAGAGGATGTGCAGAGAAGAATGGGAGAAACTCCCCAAATACAGGTGTGCCAAGCTTGTAGCGTCATACCCAAGAAGACTTGAGGCTGTAATCGCTGCCAAAGGTGCTTCAACAAAGTACTGAGTAAAGGGTCTGAATACTTATGTAAATGTGATATTTCAGATTTTTTATATATACATTTGCAAAAATGTCTAAACCTGTTTTTCATTATGGGATATTTATATATAAATTAGCAGAAATTTCTAAAAACCTGTTTTTTCTTTGTCATTATGGGGTATTGTGTGTAAATTTATGAGGGGCAAAAAACGATTTAATCAATTTTAGAATAAGGCTGTAACGTAACAAAATGTGGAAAAAGTCGAGGGGTCTGAATACTTTCCGAGTGCCCTGTACATGCAGGGGTTGCGAGTTAGTGACCCTTTAATTAAGGGATAAATCGGGATTTTGTTACTTTAAGCCCTTTTATCTACTTCCCCAGAGTCAGATGCGTCCAGAGTCTTCTTGGGTATGAATGTTTTAGGAATAAGGTATTCTGTTTTTGGGTAGGGGACCAAGTTTTTATTTTATTTGTTTTGCCATTTGTTGGGGGGGTTTACAGATACAATTTCAATGAATATATTTAGTTTATATAACATGTACCTTTTAGTCTGCCTCTCAAAAGAAATGCATACAGAACATTTATCATATTGATCAAACTAGATTTTGTAATAGTAAAATTGGTATAGGGAACCAAAAATAAACGTTATGAAAGGTTAGCCTACACCCCCAACAGCCCATTCCCCACAGCCTAGATCCTGGTTCGAGTCCTGGCTCTGTCGCAGCCGGCCGCAACCGGGAGACCCATGGGCGGCGCACAATTGGTCCAGCGTCGTCCAAGGTAGGGGAGGGTTTGGCCGGCAGGGATGTGGGTTCGTTTCCCACGGGGGGCCAGTATGAAAAAAAAGAACTGTATGCATTCACTAACTGTAAGTCGCTCTGGTAAAATGACTAAAATGTAAATGTAAAATGAGAGAGTGCGGCAGTGCTGCCTGCCAGCAGTAATAGTCTCTGATTGATTGAGAGTTCCAAGGAGCTATTATCGTTAAGTAACATAATAAATGCAATGCATTGAATATTTTCGTTCATGCACTTCGAAATTAATTTTGTAACTTTGCCCCAGAACCATTTAACTACAGGGCACTCCCACATCATATGAAGGAATGTGAACAGTTGGGAGTTGGGGCCAATTTCATCGTAAAACATTTCCTTGGTGTAAAATAGTCGGAACAAATTTAAAATGTATAAATTGGATGGTTCGTGGACCATACTTTTGTAATGGCTAGCTCCAGAATATGAGCTTTCCAAAAGTTGTTTATATATCATAGAGGTCAGTCCTTTCAGGAGCCCAGATAATGTATTTATAAATCCCCTAATTGGATGTTTCGGTAGTTGGGTTTCCCAAGAGACTCCAGGCCAGCATAGCTGACCTAAATTATAAATATAGAAAAAAGGAGTTGCCTTGTATCTTGGAATGTTCTCAAACCATTACTGACCATGATATCAGTAAGGGTACAGATTCCACATTTGGAACAGTCCTCCAGATCACAAGGCGTTATTGTGAAATATTTGAGTATGGGCATGCCAACAGTTTTAAAATTTTGCGCCAAATAGAAATTGTGTGAGCTATGATAGGACCAAAGAGCAGTTTACATTGTTTAAGCGATATATCAGTGAAGACCACCTTTTCCAGAGCAATAGGTACACCATATTTATTTCTATACTCAGCTATGGGGCAGAAGAATCATGTTGAAACCAGTTTAGGATGGGGAGAAATGCTAGAGCCTGGAAATAAAGTATCTGATACAGACAGTCCTCCTACGTCTTTCCCACTTTGTAAATGGATGAATTGTCTCCGGGATCGTTTACCTCGACATATACAGTTGAAGGCGGAAGTTTACATATACTTAAGTTTGAGTCATTAAAACTTGTTTTTCAACCACTCCACAAATGTCTTGTTAACAAACTATAGTTTTGGCAAGTCGTTTAGGACATCTACTTTTCCAACAGTTGTTTACAGAGAGATTATTTCACTTATAATTCACTGTATCACAATTCCAGTGGGTCAGAAGTTTACATACACTAATTTGATTTGGCCTTTAAACAGCTTGGAAAATTCCAGAAAATGATGTCATGGCTTTAGAAGCTTCTGATAGGCTAATTGACATAATTTGAGTCAATTGGAGGTGTACCTGTGGATGTATTTCAAGGCCTACCTTCAAACTCAGTGCCTCTTTGCTTGACATCATGGGAAAATCTAAAGAAATCAGCCAAGACCTTAGAAAAAAGGTTCATCCTTGGTAGCAATTTCCAAATGCCTGAAGGTACCATGTTCATCTGTACAAACAATAGTACGCAAGTATAAACACCATGGGACCACGCAGCCGTCATACCGCTCAGGAAGGAGACGTGTTCTGTCTCCTAGAGATTAACGTACTTTGGTGCGAAAAGTGCAAATCAATCCCAGAACAACAGCAAAGGACCTTGTGAAGATGCTGGAGGAAACAGGTACAAAAGTATCTATATCCACAGTAAAATGAGTCCTATATCGACATAACCTGAAAGGCCGCTCAGCAAGGAAGAAGCCACTGCTCCAAAACCGCCATTAAAAAAGTCAGACTACGGTTTGCAACTGCACATGGGGACAAAGATCGTACTTTTTGGAGAAATGTCCTCTGGTGCACCTCATGCTGTGTGGGTGCTTTGCTGCAGGAGGGACTGGTAAACCACAAAATAGATGGCATCATGAGGAAGAAAAATTATGTGGATATATTGAAGCAACATCTCAAGACATCAGTCAGGAAGTTAAAGCTTGGTTGCAAATGGGTCTTCCAAATGGACAATGACCTCAAGCATACTTCCAAAGTTGTGGCAAAATGGTTTAAGGACAACAAAGTCAAGGTATTGGAGTGGCCATCACAAAGCCCTGACCTCAATCCTATAGAACATTTGTGGGCAGAACTGAAAAAGCGTGTGCGATCAAGGAGGCCTACAAACCTGACTCAGTTACACCAGCTCTGTCAGGAGGAATGGGCCAAAATTCACCCAACTTATTGTGGGAAGCTTGTGGAAGGCTACCTGAAATGTTTGACCCAAGTTAAACAATTTAAAGGCAATGATACCAAATACTAATTGAGTGTGTGTAAACTTCTGACCCACTGGGAATGTGATGAAAGAAATAAAAGCTGAAATAAATAATTCTCTCTACTATTATTCTGACATTTCACATTCTTACAATAAAGTGGTGATCCTAACTGACCTAAGACAGGGATTTGTTATTAGGATTAAATGTCAGGAATTGTGAAAAACTGAGTTTAAATGTATTTGGCTAAGGTATATGTAAACTTCTGACTTCAACTGTACATTTTGAAACCGCACTATGGATTTTATCCCAACAGCCAGAAGGGGGAGACATGGGATGCATTGAAATTCTACAGAAATTCAGCCTTGGCGATTATATTATTTTTGAAAATTGATATTCTGCTGGTTAAAGCAACTGGGATGTTAGTCCATCTACTGAGGTCGGATTGAATTGATTTGAACGTTAAAGTTTCTGCCAATGCTTTTATCTAAGGAAGGAAATATATCTTCTCCCAAATATAAAATGGGAAAACGATTCGGATTCCATAAGTAGAGATGGAGTTCTCCATCGGGGTCTTGAGAGGCAGTAGGACTGATTTGGTTAGATTCATTTTATAACTTGAGTTGAAGCTGAATTCA